AATTTATTTAAATTTCATATACCACTTAATCAGTGGACAAACCCCCTATAAAAGAAATTTTATTTTCTGGAGAAAGATGAACACCTAAGGTCTCAAACCTCCTTAACCTTCATATTATGCTAGTGTGAATGATGCTAACATGCATTAAAACAAAAGTTTCATATTTTCTAATTTTTCTTACAATATGTGGGTTAACCCCTACAAAAAGATTGAGTTTTTCAATAAATACTATATATAATAAATTGTAGCCTCTTTCGTACTATTAAAAAAAATACCTAACCACACTCAAAACTTATATTAATGTATGATAAGCTTATTAACCTAGTACATGGACATCATTTCAAATTTTCCAATAGGTAATTTATTTAAATTTCATATACCACTTAATCAGTATACAAACCCCCTATAAAAGAAATTTTATTTTCTGTTGAAAGATGAACACCTAAGATGGGATCATTTGAAATAACAGCAGCAGTTATCCTCTCCAAAGCATCCAACACCGGAGGAAGCTGATCCTTTTTCTATTCCGTTACAATCCGAAAGGGTCCAAAGATCTCTTTGGTGATCAGTTCATAAGTTTTGTTATCCTTCAAGATCTCTTAAATGGGAACATAAACTGTGATTAAACAAATATTCTAAAGCTGTAACTTTAGAGATTCAGCCACATATATAGTGAAGACAGTGCATGTACCTGATCACCACAAAAGCGAATGGTGAGGCCACTTGAGAATCCAAAATTGGCTAAATTATCAGCACTAACTAACAGCTGTGAAGAAGAAAAACTCTCACTTGAAGAATAAACTTGTCCGTTACATTAATCTATATCATAACCAGGGAAAATCTAAGCAACGTGAAAGTAAAACTAATGCCACTGACTGAGAATGGAGAGACATGTAAACATTCATACTTAAGTAGCTAAAGAGCGAATAGCTAAGGACCAGCAACACATAAAGACTCAGAAGTAGGTGTCGTAGTAAGCTTGAAGAGGAGCATAGGCTTTCCGATCGATAGCGATTCTGAAGAAGAAGAAGAAGAAGAAGAAGAAAACAAATCAAGCTTTTTGGAGAAAACTTCATCAAGTAAGACAGGTCGAGAGATCGTCATCCCAGCTCCGTTACATCGCTTCTTAAAAGCAATCTCCTTCTCGATAGTAAAAAAAGTCTCTTAGACTTAGCTGGAGAATCAAAACACCGATGGCTATCAAATTCAAATGCTAATCTGATCCACTGTTTACTTTAACAGTATCGTTATTGTATATTTTTACCAATCAGTAGTAGTATTTAATTAGCCACACATTTTTACCACCTAAAAATATTAAACTCTGATTTGCACTCCTCTTTTCTCTCCCCCCCCCCCCCCAAATTCTGTTTCTCCTCGTTTAAATATTTGGCGTATAAAATATGAAGAATACACCTTTATAAAGCTTTTTATGGGGAATGTTGAGAAAACTCGTAACCTTTTTGACGGTACATAAGGTTTATTTACTTTCTTTTCGTGAATAGGCTTTAATTTGGGATTTGGAGATGTGTATCAGTGTATGGTCTTTTAGTTCGCATCTTTTGCAAAAGACCTCGTTTTTTGAAATAAAAGAGATAGGGTAAATAAGTAACGTGAGTGAGTGGTACGGAAGAGTGATGATTTCAGACAGAGAAACTCATGATGGACGGACACAGGCCTCTCCTTCCATAAATACATACCGTAATCCGACATGAAACCAGTCCAAATTTGTATAGAAACGGACACAAAAGCATAGGATGAAGTCGCCAATGTAAATCAGTTAGCTGTTTAAGTTAAGTATCCAGTTCTAATTGGTTTTCTCATATCTGCAGCCACTATAACTTGTCTAGATATATACGTCTATCTTATTATATCAAGAAAAGTTACAGAGAGACTAATGCCTAGATTATTGGCGCAAGCATATCCTTGAGAACCAACATTAATAATCCTACTCGAAGACCCAAATGCTACGAGACAAAGTAAGAAAGGTTTGCGCAGGGAAGTGTTTGATATCGTGACTTACAAAATTAAGTTCCCATGAAACTCTTGACCAAACATAAATGAACAAAACTTTCCTCGAAACTTTGTTTAACCTTGCATGAGTGTGTAAACTCGTGAAAGTTAAACTCTCCAGTATTGATATATCATAGATGTCAAGTTCTCAACAACGGGTATCAGTTTAAATTTCAGTGAGTAGCTAAATTTTAATAGTGTAATAAACTCCATCGTTTCACAAAAATAATCAAAAACACATGAACGTATTGATTGGATATTGACTGTATATGATATACTCTCATCCTTCTCTAATTATTTTCTGTTTCTAAAGATTCGAAGCGCCTTAGACTTTGGCAATGGTGGTTTTCTTATTAATAGTTTTTGTTTTATAAACAAATATTTCCATGATATCATTTATTGCCCATTTTTATAATTTCCATTAGAGTTGACAAAACAACATATATATCAGTTTTCAAATAAACTCACCCCAATGATAGGTTATATTCCAAGTATCAGTTTCAAAGATACATTAGTTAATCAATTCAAGTGCATAAATTCGACCGAGATAATTAAATACTCCTATACTCTGATAACAAAAGAATCTACTGGTCGAGTTTTAATCATTCTTGTTACTTTAATCCAAAGAATTGGATAGATGTGTGATTCTTATAGCTTCATGTGAAGCCTAATAGTATGCGCATAAACAATAATCATTGGTTGTGAATCTCATTTAATTCGATTCGATGCACTGACTTCGAATGGATGGACTATATAGTTTTATATAACTTGATCAACTTTATAGTATTATTCAACATTTCAGAAAAAAAAATCTAGAAATAAAATATGAAAAAACTTGGGGAATGAAAGGGAAATGAAGTATGCTTCTCAACGATGGAACGTGGCGTCACCTTTAACACTCATTTATATTGGTCCCAGAACTATATCTATATATCAAATTAACAACCACAACATGCTAAATAAAATGTTAAAATAGTAACTGATGAACAGTTTGTTTAGTTATATTAAGAACTTATAAAACCTTGTAACAGTAAAACGGTAAAACTCAGACATATCAATGTCGTTATCTGATGTTTTTGGAAATCGAAGGTACATCAGATATTGATCAATCGATCTCACATGTATCTAATAATACATAACAGATACAAATATATAAATCAACACATATAAATTATATACAAACGAACAATTGTTTACACCTTTTCCCCCACGTAAATGGTACAAATCGGGTTATCTCACCTTCGCTCTTCTCATATGATAATAAAAAAATATGTATGGTTAGCATTAGGCGTTCATTAACTATCCTATATGTTTGAACCAAAGTTTAGAACAGAACAGTTCAAATTCACACAGCTGGATTCGAATTCTAGAAAAACATATCAACTTTGTATTCGTTCTGGAATGGACTAATAAGTGCGTATAAATCATATAAATGAATTTTCATAAATGTATATACGTTCAACAGAATGAATGTGTTTTTATTTGGTAGACCTTACACAACCCACCGACTTGATGGTATCCATATATTTCTTATCAGCTATCAATCATGGGAGGTCATGATCTATTTATTTATGGACAAAACGTACATGCATTATTACCTAAATTGATGGTATCCATAATTATTTTTATTTTGAAAGGTTTGATCAGCAACTTTGTCCGGATAGAACCAAGTATTTATAATTGTGATGTTTATGGCATCAGAAGATCTCATCCAAGTCTATTCAAACCTAGTTAAGTTATGTTAACAAAGTAATCTTTTCGTTTTTTTTTTGTCAGCTTAAACTTTTCGTTTTCTAATGGATAATCAATAATAATTCCATGACAAGCACGCACGAAATCATGAGATGTTCATACAAATGCAGCCACTTAAACATACCAAACAATTTATAAATCCATAACCAGCTAGAGTTAATCCTTTTTGTTTCCTTGATTCATGTGGCTCATCTGCAAAGTTTCAAAATATTTAAAGTCAGAAACCTCAATAATGTATGTTTTGGAGTTTATACCATTGATCTAGTAATATGGAGTAGTCACTTGATCACCAGTAAATCTAATGGGTAATGGAAAAGATTAAAAAGGGATAATAGAACTATCCTAGTCAAAGGAAACCACCATTTTTGTCATAGCAAGAATTCAAAAATTTGATGGACCAGTCTAATCTCTATGTCATATCATTAGCTCTCGTCGTCACCATATAATTTATTATTATTTGGATCATTCGAATGGTGGACAACTTTAATTATTTTGTTTGTAAAAATGCACTTCGATCTTTCTCCTATATTAATATATAGATATTATTAATACACTAGTGATATAGTTAAAGCTAGATAAAAGCTAAACTCAAATGGAAGTAAAACAGTAGAAGTGAATGTGGAAAGATACTTGACTTTGACAGAGGGTACAGTCAGACAAATAAATACCTCTAGACCTACAGAACTCTGACCCTCTGCTAATTACGACGCAGTTTTAAAAATCACTCTGCAATCTTCATTTTAATTTATGTTTATTTGTAGAACATGCTTACCGTTTATTGCTCGGATTGTATTTCTAACGTCACGTGCCACATGAATTTTGTTTGACTTCTCTCTTTTTTTTGGGCTAAGCAAAATATCAAAACTTGTATTTTGAACAACTCAGCGAATTCGAGAAAGTTTACTTTAGTTTCTTCTGCATTGAACCACATTGGAAAGTTAGACCTGAATCGAAATTTGTCAGGTTATAATTGACAAGTGTTTAATAATCACTTCATCAAGTTAAATTTGGCTATAAAAGTGAAAAATTTACATGCAAATGGAACAAAAATTTACATCATGCAATGCAAAATATTTTTTAATAAAGAGTTACATGCAAATGGAACAAAGATCGCCGTGTCTTTAGTCAAATGAAATCCCATATGCATATGGTCGGTTACATCATTGACTTTTTTTTATTTTATCTTCCATCCCAATGAAACTATTGAAATAAGTATGTAATATGACGTTACTAAACAAAGGTTAATTATAGTTTTAAAAATATGAAGGGGACGTAACGAACCAGTGATTATTTTCTTCGAGGCAAGAAAATTATGAAAGATTTACATGCAAATGGAAACATAAGCCATTTCAGACGCATGAAGTCACAATTTCCACCTTTTAATATTGCTACAATTAAAAAATAATTAAATGTTTCTAAACATCAGTAAAGAAGAAAGAAATATCTTTCTCTCTCTCTCTCTCTAGTCTTTATCTTATTTAATATCTCCATCTTCCTTATGATCAATGCCCAAAAGCTCCCTTCATCTTCTATATAATCACTTAAAGAAAATAAACAGAGTAGAAGAAAGAAAGAACTTGCCTTCATTTGTTTAGCTAGAAATGGTGTTTGGTTGGAGAAAAGCGTTTTGCACATCCTTTCCTAGTACTCAAGACAAACATCAACAATCATCATCATCTTCTTCATCACACCTTCTCCACACTGATCCACCTATTACCACACCAAGACTCCGATCAAAGTTCGGTTTCTTCTCAAACCCATCAACTCCCCGTCTCCGATCTCGTGGATGCCGCTCCGCCGCTTCAACCGCCGCCGCTACTCCATCTCTTCCCACTAGTCCCAAACTCCAATGCAGGACTACAAGCAATGCTACTCCAAGAACCAGTAACACCTCCTCTCCTAAGTTTCTCTCCAACCCTTCCTCTCCCAAATCTTCTTCTCCTTCCTCCCACGGCGGCGTTTCTCTCCTCCGTGCCACACTTCTTCTCAACCAGGTAAGCATCATGATTTTCTTTTTTTTTGCAATTAAGTTTTTTTTTTAAAAGTATACTAATCTAAAGGCTCTGTTTTGTAATAACTATACTAATCTAGATTCCTGTTCTGTAATAAGTATACTAATCTAAAGGCTCTGTTTTGTAATAACTATAATCTAAACTCTGTTTTTTTTCTAAGTATACTAATCTAAAGGCTCTGTTTTGTAATAACTATAATCTAAACTCTGTTTTTTTTAAGTATACTAATCTAAAGGCTCTGTTTTGTAATAAGTATATACTAATCTGAGGGCTCTGTTTTGTAATAAGTATATATACAAATCTAAAGTCTCTGTTTTGTAATAAGTATAGACTAATCTAAATCTTTGTTTTGAAAGAACTATACTAATCTAAAGTCTCTGTTTTGTAATAAGTATATACTAATCTAAACTCTGTTTTTTTTCTGTTGTTGTCGGAACACAGAGCAATAGTAACAGATGTGGGATTTGCCTACAGAGAGTTGACTCCGACCAAATCAACTCGACGGCGATTTTCACGGCGGAGTGTTCACATTCTTTCCACCTCTCTTGCGCCGTTAGACTACAAGACAAGCGTTGTCCTTTCTGTTCCGCCTCCTGGAAGTCTGATTCTCCCTCCGCGAATTCAAGACCCGACCCGATTAAAAAACCCGAGATCCGAGAAATAAAGACAGGGAAGTCTCTAAGAGTGTACAACGACGACGAGCCGTTAGCTTATTCCCCCGTCTCCCTTTCCCGGTTCAACACTATTCTAGAATCAGACGAAAACGACGACGTAGAAGAAGACGATGAGTTCCCCGGATTCTTCCCTGATTCTTCTTCAATCACGCCGGCGATCTCCGGGAATTTGGAAATTCAATTGCTCCCGGAGTCCGCCGTGGTGGACGCCGGGAAAAGGTTTGAGACGCACGCCGTCGTTTTGAAAGTGAAGGCGTCTCCGATCAAGGAGGCGGTTAGAGCGCGGCGGCCGTCGTTGGATCTGGTGACGGTTCTCGATCTTACCGGCGGAGTGGATTTGGAGACGGTTAAGCAGGCGATGAGATCAGTGATCTCTCTCCTCCGGGAGATGGATCGTCTCTCCATCGTCGTGTTCTCGTCGGGATCGAAACGGTTGATGCCGTTACGACGGATGACGGCGAGAGGAAGGAGTTCAGCAAGGAGAATCATCGACTCTATAGGCGGAATTGAAACTAACAGTGGAGGGATGAGAGTTAACGACGCTTTGAAAAAAGCGGTTAAAGTCGTTGAGGATCGGCGGGAGAGGAATCCAACGGTTAGTGTTTTGGTTTTATCGGACGGTCAGGATCAAGAGGCGGTTATGAAAGCTGGGTTAAGTTCCTCCACGCGCGTTCCTTTCGTCGTGTCCACCACTCGCTTGTTGTCTCGGCCCGAGATCCCCGTTCACTCCGTTTGGATCGCGTCTCCCGGCGCGTTGCAGCACAACGCGCCTGTAAGAGACGCGTTCACGGAGCGGATCGCGGGTTTGTTCAACGTGGTTCTACGTGACGTGAAGCTTAATCTAGGGTTGTTGGTGTCTGGATCTCCGTTGACTGAGATCTCAGCGGTTTATTCTTTAACGGGTAGAACCGAGAGTTTCGGATCCGGGTCGGATGTTGTCGTCGGTGATCTGTTTGCGGAGGAGGAGAGAGAATTTCTCGTTGAGATTAAAGTGCCGACTTCGGCAAGTGGGTCCCATCGTGTGATGTCCGTACGGTCTTCGGTCGTTGACCCCACGACGCTTCAGCCGTTTCCTTGTCCGAATGAGAAACGGTTTTTGATCCCACGGCCACAGGGTGTACGATTCGTTTCCGCTGGGATCGAGCGGTTGAGGAGTCGACACGTGGTGTGCCGCGCTGTAGCTGAGTCACGTAAGATGACTGAGCGTGAAGATTTAGCCGGAGCCTATCAGGTTTTAGTAGCGGCTCGGTCAAACGCATTGGATGAGAGTGATGGATTAAAGAGCTTGGACGCTGAGTTAGCCGAGCTAAACCGGTTGAAACCGAGAAACGGTTTAGTAAACCGAACCGAAGAGGAGAAAACCGAGCAGCTTACGCCGACTTCGGCTTGGAGAGCGGCTGAGAAATTGGCGAAAGTGGCTATCATGAGGAAGCATTTAAACCGGGTCAGCGACATGCATGGCTTGGAAAACGCCAGATTTTAAGTTTCTTTTTTGGTTGATTATTAGTTGGTATGTAATTATTTCGAAATATTTTAGTAACCAATAATTGAGTAAGATATGATAAATAAAATTATAGGAGTTATGATTATTAGAAAGGGACCCCATAGGTGCATGACAGCGACAAGCAGTAGCCGACGGGTGTGGCCTTTTTTTCTGAAATGCAGAGATTGGTACATTGAGAATTAATTGGTCTTTTAGCTTTTATCATCTTCCTTTTTGTAATTTTCAGAAAATCCAAATCTCTGACTGAAAAAAGGTGGGGAAAAATAAATAAAGTTTGCTTTTTATATACTATAAAGGTGTAGTGGATAATGAGAGAATGCTTGCAACGCTGGACTTCAAAATCAAAAGCAAATTTGTACTTAAAATTATATTATCGTGCCGTTTGAATTTCATGGATTTCTAGTACTTTATATCTTCACATATGAAAGATCATATGATTGGGCATGTGATCATCATTATAGGCTAGCATTCAACCAAAAAAAAAATCATTATAGGCTACCATATTGACATTGTTATAGAAACTTAAAAGGTTTACCAGAATACAAATATATTCCCAGTGGTTGTACTTGTATTATAATATATTTTGACACACAAATGAAATTTAGAAAACTCATGATTAATATCATGAGAGACCAAAAAAATGTCTAGTGTCTTGGACTTTGATGTATTTTTAGTTCAATAGAGCCAAATGTTGTAAAACAAAGATGAGGGGATTCGGTATTACGACGCCCGTTAAGATAAAAGTTGGATGTTATAGCCCACTAATATACCAGTTTTTTCTAAAATAAAGCCTTAAGCTTTCATGCCATAACTGCATGGGCTGATATATCAAAGCTATAAACTATCTACCAGCAAGGAACATAAAGATCTACAAAGCTGGCGAAAACAACATTACTCTACACACAACTTGCCCAAGAAAATTGACCTATCCACCAAACATGTAGTTTAAGACTAGCCAGGTATTAAGAAAGTTAAGCCTTTTTCTAAACCTTTTTGTTTTGATGAAGCCTTTTAGTTGAGTAAAGTAAGTTATGACTATGAGTATGACTAGGTAATAGTGTTTGTATTTATTTTTTTCAAAAAAAAAAAGCAATAGTGTTTGTATATCCGTTCCAATATTTCGGGTTTTCAGTTTCACCGTCTTAAGTATTATTCTAATATTTTATAAATACAAATCAGGTTTGGATAACAATTTTTATATATTGTTATTGGTAATATGTAAATAAAACGAAACTAAAAGTGGGAAATATAGTGTGATGTTGAATTTTGTTAAATAAAACTCTTGTACATGTAAATTTTTATAAATGTTGAATAGATAGGATAAAAAGAGATTGATGTGTACTGTACTAATATTAAAAGTAAGATGTCGAATGTTATAGATAACGCAGTTGACGTGGTAGTGATCTGCGAAAAGCTGTCCAACTTTGACATTTCGATCGCCGACCCTTGAAATCGATGGCTCAGATCAAATACTGACACCTGGCTTCCTAAAAGGTTAACTACAACGAAATTTATCGAATTTTAAAGTAAGCTTTTGTTAACTACAGCCCACGATGGACCGTATTTTAAGTTAAATAATTCAAGGATATCATATTAATAATTTTGTTGATGTTTTTGCTTAGCTACCAGCGGTATGAAAATAACCATGTTTATCTTTATATATGCACTTAATACAAATGAAATATTATAGATATCAGAAGTACAAGATACGGGTTTCAACTTTCGCATAATATTATAAATAAACATATAGAGAAAACAATCCATTTTTCATTTGAAGTTCAAATAGTCCTCACTCACTATTTTTGTCTAGAGAAAGAGTACAGTTTCATTATTTGGCAGTGAACTTTCCAAGATAATTAAAACTCACAATGAGTTTAACACTTGATTTGATAATATAATATAACCTAGTTTCCTTCTCATGAAAAAATTAAGAGTATAACCGGCCGTATCAATAAATAAACATATAATTTTATGAACAAAAGTATATATCTTAGGCCAAAATCATATCATTTTTATAATTTAATTTCATTACAATATGTTAAACTCTCCACAAAACTATAGTATAAAAATGTGCCGTACCTTGAATTATAACAGTATAAATTATTTAAGTCAAACAGCTGAAGACATAATTTATCAGAAAAAAATGAGCTTAAAATATGTTTGTGCTTTGCACGGACAAGATTTTGGAAAACGACATTATACATTTCAAATCCAAACATATTTAAATACTGTTAATGTATTAATTTCAAAGGTTATAATTTTTACCCGAACTATTAATTTCATGATTGCAAACGTGAAGACATGAATACATTCATCCATCGGACAAAACGGATAGATGTATGATGCAAATTGATCTACGGTAGATCATCTACCATGTGCATGCACAAGTTAATTATGTGGTCAAACCAACGCAACATCTAGTCATCTCACCGTAGTAGACTAATATATGGTAGTTGTAAACAACTGGCTTATCTACAATCAAATATTATACACATTGTTTCATGTGTAACGTGATAATCATCAATTAACTAAGTCAAACCACGTTTAGGCAAGTTAATTAAGACGCGTATTCTGATTGTACCGAGTGAACGGAGGGCTATAAAAGCGGCTTCTTCTTTCATTTTCCCATCATCAGCCATTCATCTCTTCACCTTCAGACAAACCTTATTTTTTTTGTATATATTCTTATTCTTCCAAAAGAAGAAGACCTTCTGGTAATAACATTTTCTTCATAAACTCTCTTAAAATTCATATACATGTATATATTTGTGTGTGTATGTGCTAATTGTGTATATTGATATATTCATTCCCACGTTAGCTGACATGGCGGGAAACGGAAACAGTGATGGAGAATTCAGTTTCTCGGCCGCGGCTGCGCGTGATGCCCTAGCGAGGATCACGACGGAGAAGGGAACCAAGGCTCCGACGTCAACGGACGTGTGTCACGACGACACCGCATCGCCGGTCAGCTTTCAGACCATCGATGAGCTCCACAGTCTCCAGAAGAAACGATCTGCACCAACCACTCCACTCAAAGAAGGCGGTGGCGTAGTGATCGGAACCAGTGGCCCTACCACTCCTGTCTCCGGTGAGAGCATGCTTCAATCCGTCAGGTGTGTACATTTGTTATCAATATAGCACAATGTCCTATAGCTAATGTTTTAAAACTTTGTGATATGGAAATAAGAAATGTAATTATTAAGTCAATAGAAAGTTGGATCTTATTTGACATAATTATAAGCCACAAAATGTAGGAATAATATTATCTTTTCTTACAAGATTTGGAAATAATAATATTGTTATAAGAATTGGAAATATATCTGTTTACTAATCAGAATATTATACGTTATATGAAACCTGGAATAATATCTGTGATAATATAATAACATCTGTGATAATATATAACTAGATCTTTACCCGCGCGGTTTTACTTTCAATAATTTTATATACATATGTTATTTATTTTATGAATATATATTTTTAACGTTGAACATATATTTAAACGTTTATATAAATGTATTGTTAGTTTTAAGATGTTCTTATGTATTAAGAGAATGAAAATAGAAATTAAATATGGTTGTTAAGATTTTATTATACAAATATAAAAGATAAGGTTACAACTTTTCTAAGGAAGGGTCTATTTTAAAAAAATCACATATGAAGAGAAGTTGTGACTTCTCTTTTAATATAATAGATATGTTATATGAAATTCGTGAAAACTATGATAATGAATTCTTTCCAAAAGATAACTATGATTGACATATATATAATTTGTTTTCAGAAAGATATATAAATATAATTTGTTGATGAATTGACAGTGCATCGTTGGCTTCGTTGACGAGAGAGACAGGACCAAAGGTAATCAGAGGAGATCCCACATCGGCGGCTAAAGTGTCCCACGTGCCACAAACTCCTACGTCAGTTCCGGCGACTGACATCAGTGATAGCGCCTTGAAGTTCACTCACGTCCTTCACAACCTCTCTCCCGCCGGTAACCATCCTAAAACGCCACCTATTTTCATCAACAAAATTTTATTACATTTTTGTAATGAAACACAAAAGTCACAATTCGAATTATATGATTGCAGAGTTGTACGAGCAGGCGATAAAATATGAGCAAGGATCGTTCATAACATCGACTGGTGCGTTGGCAACATTGTCCGGAGCCAAAACCGGTCGGTCTCCTAAAGACAAGCGTGTGGTTAAGGATGAGACAACTGCGTCCGAACTCTGGTGGGGAAAGTAAGTCCCTCTCTACTATACATTTACATAATCAAGATCACCACATGAAACTTTATATTGTTAATGGTATTATGTTTGACTACACCAAATTTTTTTTTTTTTTAATTAATTTAGAGAAATATTATAGAGATATTTAGTGTATATTAGTTTATTGAGTATTAATTTATAGAAGTTCTACTGTATTACATAAATCAATACTATCAAACTATAAATATAATGTATTTTTGATATACGTTGACTTTACATATGTTATATTCTTTTAACAGAGGATCACCAAATATCGAAATGGATGAACAAGCCTTTTTGGTGAACCGAGAAAGAGCTGTTGATTACTTGAACTCTTTGGACAAGGTAACTCAGTCAAACAAACATTAAAGATTTTATAGTTAAAACTATTTTCACAATTAGGTAAAAAGTACATTGACTGGTTTGTATTGTATCTTATCGACATCAGGTGTTTGTGAATGATCAATACCTAAACTGGGACCCAGAGAATAGAATCAAAGTCAGAATAGTATCAGCAAGAGCTTACCACTCACTTTTCATGCACAACATGTGTATCCGTCCAACACCTGAAGAGCTAGAAAATTTCGGGACACCTGATTTCACGATCTTTAACGCTGGAAAGTTCCCATGCAACCGTTACACTCATTACATGACATCATCGACTAGTGTCGACATAAACCTAGCAAGAAGAGAGATGGTGATTTTAGGGACACAATATGCTGGAGAAATGAAGAAAGGACTCTTTGGTGTGATGCATTATCTGATGCCTAAGAGAAAGATTTTGTCACTTCACTCCGGTTGTAACATGGGCAAAGATGGAGATGTTGCTCTCTTTTTCGGTTTATCTGGAACCGGAAAGACTACATTGTCGACCGATCATAACCGGTATTTGATTGGAGATGATGAACATTGTTGGAGTGAGACTGGAGTCTCGAACATTGAAGGTGGTTGTTACGCTAAATGCATTGATTTATCGAGGGAGAAAGAGCCTGATATCTGGAACGCTATCAAATTCGGAACCGGTACTCACATCATTAAAACAATACTCTTTATTACAATTTTTTTGCCCTAACGTATAGCTCACGTTTTGCGTTTTGGGGACAGTTTTGGAGAATGTTGTGTTTGATGAGCACACAAGAGAAGTGGACTATACAGACAAATCAGTGACGGAGAACACACGTGCGGCTTATCCTATTGAGTATATCCCTAACTCGAAGATACCATGCGTTGGACCACACCCTAAGAATGTGATCCTATTGGCTTGTGATGCCTTTGGTGTGCTGCCACCAGTCAGCAAGCTGGATCTTGCTCAAACTATGTATCATTTCATCAGTGGCTACACTGCTCTCGTAAGTCTTCTATCATCATCATCATCATCCAAAACGCAACACTATTGCTTGGGTTTATATGTGTATAAGTAATAATTTTAATGAATGTACCCAACCTTTTGTTAACTTAAATAAAAAAACTAAAATGTTTCTGGTTTGGTTCTCTTGTAATTAATGAACGATGAATATTTGGGTTTGTAGGTTGCAGGAACAGAGGAAGGAGTAAAGGAGCCAAGAGCGACCTTCTCGGCTTGTTTTGGTGCTGCTTTCATTATGCTTCACCCAACCAAATACGCAGCTATGTTAGCCGAGAAAATGCAAGCTCAAGGAGCCACCGGTTGGCTTGTTAACACCGGCTGGTCTGGTGGAAGGTACAACCATCCATCTTTACTTCAAACCACAAAAAAAAAAAAAAAATACATGTCATTGTTATAACTTTGAACTGTTAATAATTTTGCAGCTATGGATCTGGAAGTCGAATCAAGTTGGCGTATACTAGAAAGATTATTGATGCTATACATTCGGGTAGTCTCTTGAGTGCAACGTATCAGAAAACTGAGATTTTTGGTTTGGAGATTCCAAATGAAGTTGAAGGAGTGCCTTCTGAGATTTTGGAGCCTATGAATGCTGTAAGTTAGAGAGATCAAATTTATATTTTATTTTACATGAGTCAGAATAAACCCCATATATTATAAAAAACTAAGAAAAAATTACATTATTTGCTGCAGTGGGAAGACAAAGTGGCTTATAAGGAAACGTTGTTGAAGTTGGCTGGTTTGTTTAGAAACAATTTTGAGACATTCACAAGTCATAAGATTGGAGAAGATGGAAAATTGACTGAAGAGATTCTTGCAGCTGGTCCAAATTTCTAAAGTAATGAAAGATTACGATGATGTTTTTAATAAAATACAACAACATACAAAATAAAGTGAATAATGGAGAGAGTCAACGAATTTAAGAAAACCCCATTTGATTATCAGTTATATTTTTCCACTGAATGAGAACTATTCCTTTTCTTTTCTTTTCATGAATGTTTGTTTACTCAAAAACCAATCTAAATACCTTTTCTTCAAATAGTTTCAGTGGTGGCAATCTTATGTCAAGTATTTTTTTTGTTTGGTTTTGGTATTGTTTGATAAAAGTTTGTTGTGGTGTAACTTGGACTCAGTAGGGTAAATTATTCATTTTCTTTTCTTTTCTTTTCATGAATGTTTGTTTACTCAAAAAGTAATTTTACATGTTAGGTTCAAACAAACCAATCTAACTACTTTTTCTTCAAATAGTTGTAATGGTAGCCCTCCTCTGTCAATTTTTTTGTTTGGTTCTTGTATTGTTTGATATAAGTTTCTTTTGATTTAACTTGGACGCAAAAGGATAGATTATGATTTTGGTAGAAAAGAGATCTATCGTATCACATCAAGTTATATTTTTATAATTAGTTTTGAGCATATTTATTAGATTAAAAAAGGTTAATGCAGAAAAAAAATAAAATATATATATATATATATATATATACACAAGATCTCATCCATTAACAGAGCTATAAAGTACAGAAGTAACACCAAAATCTTATTCCAAAATTTAGTTTACATGGAAACAAAAGAAACTAAAAAACCACATGGAGTTGATTGGTTGGTACTATAACTTTAGGTTTTTTGCTTTAGAAATTAGGCTGTGAGTTTTTTGCTTTGGCTTCATTTTTTTACTGTAAATTTATTTTTAAAGCACTTCATAGATGCTGTAGACAAATTGATTTTGAGAGCTAATATATTTTTTCTAATTTTTTTTGCTGTAGCTTTATTTTTAAACACTAAAGCATAATTACTTTAGAAAAAATGCTTTAAAAAGAAAAAGGGATGTCCAAAACATCTACAATTTTTGCCAATCACCCCCATAATAATAAATAAATAAATCAAATTTGAATTGTTTTCCAATTGTGGAACCAAAAAACTTGTTGGTGACTAAATTCAAAAATAAGAAAAAAAAGAATCTCTAAGATAACAAGAATCTCAAAAAAAAACTCGTTAAAACTTTTGAAAAACATGGAAATACAGAAGGGAAATTTTTTTATAGCAAAACTGAGTTTAAAAACTAAGTTACATAAATGTAAGACAAATGAAATATACAATGAGGGTGATTGGTTGAGATTTTTCTTCTTACTTTAGCTTTATTTATTTTTAAAACACTAAATTTTACCAATCATGTTGTAGCTGTATTTTTGTTAGTCAAAGCCTAGAACAAATTTCTATTAATTTGTACCAATCATGCTTTAGTTTTATTTTTAAGCTACAACAAAATAAATAAATAAAAATTTATTCATATGTATTTTAGGCAAAACCTCTACATCTTTGTTTTATAGGCTGTAGAAACTGTAAAATGAAAACAAATATCTATAATATCAAATTAATTAGATAATCAGAATAAAAATATCTATCAATATTTTAATTTAGTTCTGGGTGTTTTCAAAATTATTCAAATATTTTAAATAACATAAAATATTATTTACATATCACACTTTAAATAATAATAAATTTTGATAATTTATAGAAATCATTAATACAAATTATTTTAGTTGATAAAAATAACTATTTTATATATACATCAAATATATTATTTTAAAATATCTACAGTATATACCTTACAGCTACAACAAAAGTCTCCGCACTAAAATCTACACTAAAATCTACAGTACCAACTTTACATCTAAACTTTTACAACCAAAATTTTACAGCTAAATTTTTACAGCCACAATCGAACCAACTTATCGGAAAGACATGTGTAATGTTTTATTTGTTTTCATTGTAACTTATGCATCTATTATCAATCAAGTAATATCAACTTTTCTCTAAAATATTTCTGAAAATTTTAATTTCTGTTGTAAACAAAGTTTTTACAAAAAAAAAACTCCTTATTACTTTTGAAAAACAGAGAAATAAAATTTAATAACTAAGTTACCTAAGTGTAAGACAAATGAAACATACAATCTCTAACGATCTCAAGACAAGATGTGATGTTTTATATGTCTCTATATTATGTAACTTATGTTCCTATTTATCAATCAAGTTATACAAAAATTTCCCTAAACAAATTCTGAAAATTTAAAAGGTATGTTGAAAACAAAGTTGGTACAAAAAAAATTCAATACATTTTTTAAAAAACATGGAAATTTAATAGAGAAACTTTTATTGCAAAAGTGATTAAGATAAATTAAATGAGCATAACTTTAAGACAAATAAATACACAATCTCTAACAATCATAAAGACAAGATGTATGTTCTATATGAAGGACTCACGTCAAAGACATCAGTCTTTGGTGAAATACACTCGGTTATTGGTTATTGAATATTGAGTATTGGTTATTGCAGTTAAATGTAGTCTATAAAGGATATACCTCAGAGAAATCAGTCTATGTTGGAATGCAAGCGGTGTTGGTTCTTGCGATTGTATTGATTAAGGGGAGGTGGGTTGCTCTTGTTAAGCTGAGTCATGGAATCAACGCTGGTGCACGAGGTTACATGTACATTTCTCTGAGCAAGATGATCCTGAATGTCAAGTACTCTGCTTGTGCTAACCTAATAAGTCAAACTAAAGATGAGACCGATGATGAAGCCACAACTGAACTGTCATACCTTCTTAGGAACTTTACGGGGGTGAACTACGGTGATAGTCGGAAATCAGATGTATAACTTGGTTGTTTCTCTTCTCTTAAGAGTCGGTTGCACTAATGCTAGCAAAGTTGAGGGCTTCTTCGTCATTTGATAACTTAACTAAGCGAAAGTTCCTTGCAACACAAAGCTGCAGGTCTTATAGTGATAATTTGTCGGTATTTTCCTTAGCTAAAACATTATGTTAAATTATCTCCATACACTGAATTCTTTTATAATTTTGTGGTCAACGTCAAAGCTTAGATGGGGAGGATACATAAGGACTCTGAACTAGGTCATGGGATTTCGGTGATCCGTTTGGATTTGGTTCGGCTAATTCAAATTTTTGGGACAATGTTCATAAATCCTAATCGGGTTTTACTAATTTTTAGATCATGATCAATTAGGTTCCTTCCGAGTTTGGTTTAGATTGTATTATAGCCAATGTCTGAAATCTCACAAAAAAAAATCTAAAACAATTAGGCAAAAAAATAATCAAAATATATAAATTATTTCAAAAATATAAATAAAACCTAGGTATACTATATACATTAACTAAAAGGTATTAAAATAATAAATAAAAACTATATTTAATAAATACTCTACACATACAAAAACATTAACATATTTAACATATTTAGGATATTATTGAAACATAGTTTAGATTTCAGTTCGGTTGGGATTATACCCAAACCAAAAATACCAAGCACTTAAATCTCGTTCAAATATTTTTAGAACGATTCAGATGAGTTTTTTGGTTTGGGTTAAAGTTTGGATTTTTTGCAACGGTAAAAGCGCCAAGGTACTCTGAAGTAACCAGGTGCTTCAATCCTCATTGAGTGAGTATGGACGTGTTTCTGTAAGTGTTTTTGTTTGGTTCTTGTATTGTTTGATATAAGTTTGTTTTAACTTAACTTTGACTCAAAAGGTTAAATTATGATTTTGGTAGAAAAGAGATCACGAGTGCCATTTTAATCAATATAATAACCCTGGACGAAATATGGAATATAGACCCTTTTATAATATTTTCTATATTTTTCTGTACTGCATTTACTTTTTATTTGATTTCTAAGATCTGAAATAAATAGAAAAAAACAGTTCTTTTAAAGATGGAAAAAAATCACATAAAACGTTTTTTCTAATTTTAGTTGATATAAAATCATTGAAAATTAGTTTAAAGTTTATATTCTCCAAAATTTATTTTTCATTTCATAAAATTGATAAACCGTTTGACCTTTTGATGATCACAAATATTTTTTCAACAATTTTAACTTAGAGAAATGTCTTTTAGGTGATGCAACTTCTTTAAAAATGCATAAAAAAGTGGATCTAGAAATAGTTACAAAAGTACCAAGCTCTGAAATTTCGTTCAAATATTCTAGGTAAATCACATAAGCAAAATATCTCACAAGTCCAAAATATGTAAAAGTGTAAATAATGAAAAGAAAAGCATGGTAGGTGTAATTTTGTTAGCCAATTCCATGCAAACCTGTATTCACAATGCCAAGTAAATTATACCTAGTGAATGCGCATGTTCATCACTTCACATTGTTAGTATAATGTTTTTCTGTTCGTTGACTTCATTGCACTGTTAAGACCATCCCCTGATCTCTCTGCGATACTTTAATATATAGAGAGGTTATGGAATCTTTGTGAGGCTATCTATATTGCTCAAAACATAGACGGCCGGACACACAAACTCGTAATACGTCGTTTATATATCTTCAAACGCAAGCAATACTATCTTCTGTATGGTTTTCACAGTACAACTAGGTATTGAACCTTCTATGGAATAAAAAGTAAATTACTTAAACTGTTGAAGTTCGTCAGCCTAACCAACGATGATCGTTGAACGATCTATGGAATGAAAAGTAAATGAATCATATACTTAAAAGGACATTTTAGAAACCTTTTGCAGTTAATTTTCTATAACAACTAGGTTAGCTGATATCAACAACTAGTTTAGTATTAAAGACAGAGTCAACCTCTAAATAGCCAAATATTTCATGTAATTTAAAACATACGCCCCAAAATCAAACCAACATACTAACCAAGCGAAACGAACGTTCAACCTTTTAATAATTTTATACGTTGTCTTAGATATTCAGCCTATATATAATGTATAGTTTTGTTCGCCAAATGTCATATAGTTACTTAACAAAAAAAAAAGTCATAGTACACTTTTTTTTTTTTTTTGGTCACAAACTACCATTCATTCATATCTTAATTAGGTGGGGGCATTAAATCAGCCACAGCCACTTCATGTTCATACAAAGACAGGGTGCTTTAGCAAGCAAATCTGCTTCTCCATTTCTCATCCGAGAAATCCAAACAAAAGCAAGCTTATCAAAGTCATGTGTAAGGATAGAGATATTTTCCAAGATTCCATAAAGCTCTAAAGACAGGGCCTGACCGTTGATGGCTTGGATAAGCTGCTTTGAGTCCGATTCAAATCTCACCTCTTTTAGCCCAGTTTCTCGGCAAGACAGCATAGCATCTATGAGCGCTAAACCTTCGGCGATGACCGCAGATGCAACATAGCTAACTCCTCTCGTACCTTGCGTTCTTTGATCAGACGTCACCGCAATCCATCCAATACCGACGTTTCTGTTACTCTCCTACCACGCTGCATCCGACCTTACCACCGTTGCCAACTGTGACAACTTGGGAGGGTACTTGAGGTCTCTTCTCATCCCCCATTTGTGCTCCTTCCCATTCTTTCGCAGCATTAATCGCTTGTGTTACCGTATCTGCCGGAGTCCCCGCAAAATTCTCGAAGATAAACTTATTACGTGCTTTCCACAGGAACCAAAGGATCCAAGGCGTGAGAGGCGTTGAGGTGATACCTGTTGGTGGGAGGCATTTCCTTCCATGATGTCCAGTCTTCTCTTAAATCTGTCAATCCGCTTACATCAAAGCCACTCATGAGAGGGGAGAGATTCCACACATCACGAGCATAGGGGCAGTGAAACAAAAGATGATTGATAGATTCAGAGTTATCACAACGTTTACATTTAGGATTCACATTGATATGGGGCGCTCTAAAAGTCTTTCTCTCACCGGAAGGATACCCTTGAGACTTTTCCAAGAAAACATCTTGACTTTTGGCGCTAGATTGAGATTCCAAACAGACTTTTTCCAGTCCAAATCAAGGTTAGCTTCATCCTCTAAAATCCCTTCCGTAGCTCTCATGAAGTTAAGCCATGGAAAAGAAAGAGGTCCATGTACATTTCTCTAAACCAAGATGATCATGCAAGTAAAGTAGTCTGCTAAAGATAATACTATACGTCCATTCAATGATGATACTGAAGAAGCCATAGGTGATACACTTCAAGAAATCAAGTTGTATTTTCTTATTGTGTTTCCTTATATATAATCTTCTCTTTTTATCTAATTTTATCTTACTTTTCAATGCAATACGTTAACGTTGTGCTACACAACATTTATAAAACTCTGAAAATTGGTATGAATTCTAACATTTACAATAAAAAAAAACAAAACTGTTTTGTTTTCCAAAGTTACTACGATAGTCATTACAAAAAAACTAAACGAAGGGGAAGAAATACCTCGAGGAAGGATTATGCAAATGGTTTGAGACAAGAGTTTAATTCATTAGAGAAGTTTTCTTGACGTATAGAATTTGTTTTCTCTTATTGTCAAAAACAGTAGCACTTGATATAAATATGTTTTGATTGAATAAATTTTACATTTATTTAAAAAATAGAAATTACACAAACAGTTTGATATAGTTTTAAGAAACACAGGAAAAATCAAATTATAATATGTAATAAGAGTAATCAAATTATAGTATGTGACGTAACGTTCGAGTGTATATTAACTTTGTAACTAAAAGAGATTAAATTTTTAACGTGTCTAATAACATTTAGAAAACACCATAACATATTGGACACTCATATTCTTTTGAGTTTAATGGTACACTAGATTTTGACTCGCGCTTTCAAAACGCGGATTTATGTTTGATTCAAACTTTATATAATCGCATTTCCTATACATGTAGAATGTGGGATAGACTTGTTTAGTTCATTAGTTTCATCAAACATAGTATTTTTTTAAAATGCAGGATAATCTTTCGGTGAAAATTTTATATGACTGTATTTTTGTTTTATATATAGTAGACATGTGCATAAAATCCATAACTCGACGTCTAAACTCAATCTAAACAAAAACATTTGGACCATAACTGGTCAAAATTCTAAATATATCAGAATGAGTTTTTTAGGGTGGTATAAAATATATCTGAATCAAAGTGTTATTAGCCAAAAAATCGAAAAACCTGGAAAAAATCGGAATAGATCGGAATGTCCAAGTTAATCATAAATATAAATATTTGTAACATAAATATCTAGTTTAAATATTCAGTTATATATTTATTTTAAAATGATATTTAAAATTAATTATCTAAATGTTAAATAAGTATTTTAGTATCCAATTCTATAAAAATAAGTATCTTTTTGTTTTGGTTTTAAATTTTAGATTTCCAAAGCAATACAACCCGAATCCGAACGATATATGGTTACTTTATCGGTTTTAGGATGTGTACTAATTAGAACCAAACCCGACGTGTTATATTTGAATCTGATCCATACTTACAAACATGACTACTTACAAATTATGACACCTATGATGTGATATAAATTAGTTTTAATTCAAAATATTCGACCCGTATCCCAATAGATACTTGAACTTCCAAGCATAACTTAAATTATGTCTTATATTTTGTTAAATTAATTTTATATTTGATAAATATTTTTTCTGTTTATTGAAATATTCTGTAAGATTATAACCATAAGAATATCAATAATAACATGTTTAATCATATAATTAAATATTTATTAATATTTATTTTATAAAAATATAATATATATATATATAAACGATTTTAAGACTTTATCTATGATAATTATATTATTATGTATTAGCGGAGGTTTGAAGAATTTGTTTATTATAACTTTGAGCATCAATTACATATAATTAAATATTAATTTTTTATATCCTAATCTTTTAATTTAGATATGTATATTAAAATATAAAATTCTTTCTTTTTTTTTTAAATATCTTATGGTAGTATTTTGTTATTCTGTAAATGTAATTCATTTAGTTTATAATTTACAAAAATAAAATTAAGTTATTGTATAATTATTATTTAGTGTAATTGGTAATTAAAATATGAAATATTTATATATAAATATT